TTGTTTCATGTCATTTTGTGTTGGTAGTGTCTCGGAAATTTTAGTTGTTTACAATGATTTCTATTTTTTTTTTAAAATATGTATCCAATATGTGTGAGGGTTTTTAGAATAGTAATATCATCAACACGAAAAAACTACTTTTTGATAAGTAATGTAATTAAGAACTCATTATTTCTTGTGAAATTGAAACGATAATAATCGTATACGTTTTGTAGAAGGTATGTATGAAAATTAATTGTTGGAGAGCCCTGAAGAAGATTTGATTAAATTCGAAACGTCGGAAAGAAAACAATTTTTTTTAAAGAAAAAATGGAGCCTGTTACTCAACCAAGCTTTTTTCAGAAAAATTATTGGATTACTAAACTAGTTAAACTCATTTAGATGTTAATTTTTTGTCTAACGTGAGCAAACGCGGCACCCAACTCGCGGACAGCTTCCTCATGTCTAAATGTTAATTTACTACGTGAAAAACACGTTCTTTGGATATGTTCATAACCTCTGCAATCTCTATCACTTCAATTCAGCGGTCGTCCAGTACCATTTGATGAACTTTGGCGACGTTTTCGTCGGTAGTTTGCAATTATTGGACGTCCCGAAAGTTCATAGTCTCCCAAGCTCTTACTGCCACGTCTAAATTCATCTACCCAAAATTTCACTGTGGTATATGATGGTGCAGAGTCCCCATATACAGAATCCATCTCATCTTTGATTTGCGAAGAAGTATTGCCTTTCAAAAAGAAATGTTTAACGACAGCTCGATACTCGATTGTGACCATTTTCATACCAACACTCACGTTGAGTTCGGAAACTTTTCAGAGCACCCTCGTAAATGTCAGGAGAACATTTTTTTAAAATTCAAAACTATTCATTAAACACCTGCGTGAGCATCTGTAAAGGAAAATTTTCATTTCATAAACGTACCGCTTGGAATCAAAAGGATCATAAAACAAAATCCCAACTTTCTACCTATTCACGCACTTTAAATATTATTATAGGGCTGCTTCGGAACACAATATATACCTATTTATGATAACTTAGGGACAGAACGGCAGGGCTTTTGTAATGTAATTGAGGATTGGATTATTTGCGTTTTGTTTTATAGCCCTCAAAAGCAGTTGTAAATATATATTTCTCTATCCTGCTCACGTCATCAACCCCAAGAACGATCAAACAAAATATAGATGAATATTAAATAAAGATATTTTATTACTAGAATAAAATGGATAATGTTTCACCAACATTTATCATACACTTCATGATGTTGTTATATCTGTTGAGTATGAATATAAATCAAATTGATTTGAATTTTAATTATCCTTGAAGCTTGAAGAAACGTGACAAAAATCAACAGGACTATATTTGAAGTTGAACAGTTGGAAGGTGGCCAAGAGTGACCACAAACTATGATTGAAATGATATTTCGAATATTGCAGAGTGGCTGTACGACTTAATAGAGCAGATTTTTTTGTACGTGGTGATACCAGAAGTACACGGCACAAGAAAGAAAACACAATTTTTTTGGTAAAAAGTATTAATTTTTCAACATAATCTCCTTGCAGCTCTATACATTCTTCCCAACTACGTTCAATGAGTTCGATACCGTTTTTGTAATAAGAAATGTCTTGCTCCTTAAAATAGCCATTAACTTGGATCACCCTATATTTTGTAGCATTATCAGATGCTCCATGATGAGCAGATTTCAACAAAGTATAAAAATATGGTCTGAAGCTTATGGTTCGGGAGCTACAATTTATTTGAGTTGAAAACTAGCCACTTTTGTAACAACGATTTTCAGAAAAGATAAAAAAAACCCATTTCAACAATAGTATAGAGGGCGAAATATTTTGACATATTCACATTTGATCTAACTTTACCTATTNAATAATTTTGAAACAACGGGTAAAATGCTGGATTGGTCTCAGGTCCGATGTGGATCAATTGTTTTCATTATCAGATGTTCCATGATGAACAGATCTCAACAAAGTAGGATACATTGTGGTCTGAAGCTCATAGTTTGGAAGATAAAAATTATTTGAGTTGAAAATGAGCCACCCTGAATGAACTTCTGTACAATCTGTTACCTTGGTTTCATAGGTGTTTTTGTGAAGTATACTTCAAAAAAGTCTCATTTTGCCTAGTTAAGTTTGAATTCGACATTTTCTTTATTTTGTATTTGTCTCGTTCTACAATAACGATTGCCTACCAGGTGAAATTACAATTGATGTTTCATGTTTTTGTGAATTCTTGAGAAGCAATGGTTTATATGCTTCGCGAACGGATTGAAATAGTGCGTTTGTACTACCAGAATGGAAATAGTGCTAGAGCTGCCGCCTGTATGTTTAGTGATAATCATCCAGGAAGAAATGTTCGACACACATACGTTTCAGAATTATTAAATAAATTTATGGAAACTGGATCTGTTAACAATGAAAAGCATAACCGTTCAGGAGTTGTCGAAGATGAAGCTATTTGTACTGCAGTGTTAGTACACGTTAGACTAATGGAAAATTCGCAATATCTTACTAAGTTATCTTGTGAATCAGGAATCAGTCTTAAAAATGTTTTCACGATCCTTCATAAGTACAAATTTCCTCCATATAAGATTAGACTAGTTCATGAATTGAACTAAGATGATTTCGATAGACATATCGAGTTTTGTGACAGTCTCATTGAACTGATCAACTTGCATCAGAATTTTCTGAATGAAATTTGTTTTTCGGATGAATGTACGTTCATTTTGAATGGAGACGTGAATCGGCAAAATTGTCGATATTGGGGTGATACGAATCCTCATTTATACCGTCAAGTTCATACCCAACGACCTCAAAAAATAAATTTTCAAGCAAGAATTTTAGGTGACTACATTATAGGACCTTCTTTTATCGATGATAATTTGACTAGTGATAAATATTTGGATATGTTGGAGAATCGAATAATACCGTGCATTAATAGGGCAATTGAGGTGGATATGAATTTATTCTTAAACGAAATAGTTTTTCAGCAGCATGGTGCACCTCCTCATTACGCAACTCCAGTGCCACAATTTTTGGATGTTCATTTTCCTGGTCGCTGGAATGGCAGAAGAGGAAGAGGATTGGCAGAGGAGTTCAAAGAGAAAATCTCGATATTTTATTCGTTTCTCCTCCTCTTTTCTGACGATATTCGTCTCGCCAGGAGCTGAAAACTCCACGACAAATATCGTTTTGGTCTGGTGCTCGAGAAGGACTACATCAGGCTTATTAGCTTGTATGAGCCTGAGGGTGGGGAACGAATAGTTCCAATGAATTTGGCACTTCTCGTTCCCCACAATGGATTCAATATCCCCCGGAGCGTAGGGCAACACCGGTGTCTTGTCAATACCGTAAAAGTACCGTAGATGGTAATATAGCACTCTTAGGGCCGCGTTATGTCGATGGATACAGGCCGAGACCGCATATGCTGGACATGCTGATAGCAAGTGCATTAGGGTCTAGGGCGCCTCTCTGCAGGCCCTGCACCTTGTGTCAGGAACCTCTACACCCA